GAAGGATCACCTGAGCCCAGCAGGTCAAGGCTGCAGTGGCCATGAGTATGCCACTGTACTCCAACCTGGGCAACAGAGTGAGGCTCTGACTCAAAAAAAAAAAGTGATTAACTCTGGAAGCAGAAATTCTGCCATATTCTGTATATGTTACTTTGGAGGGAAAAATATTTTAGACACTCACTTTCCCCATAGTTAATCCCAGGCAAAATGAGAGATCTGGGTGGGTGACTGGCAAGGTATGTCCCCGGGTTACCGAGGTGGTGAAATTGGGGTTGGGAAATGGAGAACTTACCCCACCAGTGAGAAACTCCCATCCAGTGAACTGGAGAGTGTTCTTTTCAGCCATTGTAAACTGAGGGATTATGATGAAGCTGAAGTTCATGATGAAGGAGAAAATGTTGAACTTCAAAAGCCACCTGAGAAAGTTGAAATAGGAGAGGACGCTGGTTCCGAACTTGCCTCCGATGACCTTGAGTGTCTTCTGCCACAGGCTGATGGAATTGAGGAGTTCTGACAGACTGTTATGGGATCTCTGGTAAGCCTGGAGTGAGGATGCAAAGTGGGCGGCTTGACAGTCACTCAGCAAATACCCCCTGAGCAGGTACCACAATAGCAAAAATGGGCACCATTTCTGGAACATTATTATGTACTAGGCATGGTGCTAAGCATGTTTCCAAATACTATCTCATTTAATTCTCATGATCTCCCTCTAAGGTGGTACTATTATTACCTTCCCAGGTTTGCTGTTGAAGAAGGTGCCACTCCCAATGGCTAAGTTGGCCAATGAACTCAACAACCTCTTAGACCTGCCTCAAGCTCACCTCGTTTCCCCACACCTAACCTAACCCAGGTTGAAATTGTCCTGAATTTTGGTTCCTCTTTCCCTTTGGTCCCGTTTTATCCTCACTCTCCTCCCTCCCTGTTTTCACGCTTTTGTTGTGCCCATTTCACTGACTGCAGTAAAGGCTGACTTACCCGTGAAATGGAGTTCAGACACTGAGCACAGCAGTTGAACTCAAAGATATGGTGGGATTGTTTACTTTTTTCTTTGTCAACTATTTTCCTGTGGGAACAGCAGGACAAAATGAGAGATACCAATGATGTGATTTATTCACTCAAAAAAATAGTCACTTTCAACAGCATGGATGGAATTGGAGACCATCATCCTAAGTGAACTAACACAGGAACAGAAAAACCAAACATTGTGTGTTTTCACTTATAAGTAGGAGCTAAACTAAGAATTTGCAAAGGTACAGAGAATGGTATAACAGACACTGGAGACTTAGAAGGGGGAGGGGGAAGGGGTGAAGGGACTAAAATCACCTATCAGGAAAACTGTGCACAGGTGAAGATGGTGGGAACACTGAAAGCCCTGACTTCTTTGCCACTATACAATACAACCATGTAATGAAAGACTATTTGTATCCCCCTAAAGTTATAGAAATAAAGAGAGGGCAAAAAAAAAGTTACTAAACACCTATGATGTGCCAGGCACAGTCTTAGGTGGTAAGTGAGCAACTTCCCTAGCTTGTGGAGCAGACATCCCAGTTGGAAGAGAAAGACAATAAGCAATAAATATAATAATAAAATGGGTAAACTATGTATTACATTCAGGAGGTGATGATTTGTATTATTAGAAAGAAAAATAAAAAAACAGAGTGGGAAATAATGGGGTGGGGCCAGTATGATAATCTGAGACAGTGTGATATCTGAGCATCACTCCATTTGAAGAAGAAGAGGGGTTAGTCCTATGGGTAAGGGAATGTCAATGCATAGGGAACAAACTACTCAAAGTCCCAAGGGAAAAAGCACAGCAAGGAGGCCAAGGTGGCTGGAATGGACCGATCAAAGGTAAGGGAGGAGAAGATGGATGGTGACATGGCTGTGGGGTTGTCCCTGTAAGTCAATGGTTCTCAACTGGGGGCAATTTTGCCCCCCCCAGAGGATTAATTCGTAATATCTGGAGACATTTTTGGTTGTCAAACTGAGAGAGAGGTGTTACTGGCAGGTACTTGGCAGATGCCAGGAATGCAGCTAAACATACTACAATGAAAAGGACAATCGCACAACTCCCCTAAGGTTGTACTGAGTTGAGAAATCCTACTGTAAGGTCTTGGGGGCCCTTATTTCGTGACAGAGGAAGCCACACAGAGTTTGACACTGAAGAGTGTTTTGAGGAAGATACAGTCACAGTTGGCCTCCTTACCCTTCCATGAACTCACCACTTTGTTCTGGTCCCTTCCTGGTTTTCATGGGTCCTCCTCACACACCCTTCCCCACATCACTGTCTTTTCAAGGCTCAATTCAAATGCCCCCCACTATTTTACCCCAGCAGACTGGGGCAGACCAGACCTTTCTGAACCTCCCCCTGCAATCTCCTTCTACTTTGATTTGGCCTGACTCTATTTCTGTATTTTATTTCATTTCATTTCATTTTATTTTATTTTGAGTTGGGGTCTCACTCTGTCACCCAGGATGGCTCACTGCAGTGGCTCCTTTCACCTCAGCCTCCAGAGTAGCTAGGACAATGGGCTTGCACCACCACACCTGACTAATTATTTTATGTTATTTTTTGGTAGAGAAAAGGTCTTGCTATGCTGCCCAGGCTGGTCTCAAACTCCTGGGCTCTAGCAGTCCTCCTGCCCTGGCCTCCCAAAGTGCTGGGATTATAGGCATGAGCTACTGTATTCAGCCCTTTTTGCCATTTATAAGTTACTTGCTGACAAATCTATTTCCCCTGCCAGGCTTTGAAACTTATCTTTGAAATCTCAGATAAACTGAATGTTTGAATTATTTATTAACAACTGTTGTTGTACCTACTATACCAGTTTCTGCCAACTATCAAAACTTGCAAAAAGAAAAATGAAAAAGATTGAGCAATCATTAATATAAAGTCTGAAGGCTAAAACAGCCCCCATCCTTGGTTTTAAATTCCTGCACTTAGAATGCTCCTAACGTCTAAGGTCTTCTTCTTTTTTTTGTAAGAAAATTTTTTTATTTTAGAGTTGAGACTTACAGTAAATTTGCAAAGACAGAACAGGGAGGTCGCATATACTACTTGTCAGCTTCCCGCTAGAATCTTACATTTCTGTGGTAGGTTTGTCAAAACTAAGAAACCAGCGACAGTATATTACCATGACCTAAACTTCAGATGATTCAGATTACACTAGTTTCTTCACTCATGTCCATTTTCTGTTCCAGAATTCGATCCAGAATACCACATTGCACTGATGTGTCATGTTTCTTTAGAATCCTCTAGTCTATGGCAGTTTCTCAGGCTTTCCTTTTTTTGATGCCCTGGATCATCAAGGAGCACTGATCGGGTATTTTGTAGAATATCTCTCAGTTGGGATTTGTCTAATGTCTCTCCCAGTTTGGACTGGAGTTACAGGTTTCAGGAGAGAGCACCATAAAGGAGATGTGCCCTTCTCATCACATGACTTATCTTTGGGGATGTCAACCTTGAGCACCTAGCTGAGGTGTGTCAGCCCAGGTCTCCACTGGAAAGTTACATACCCTCACGCTTCCATGTTCAACTCTTTGAAAGGAAGTCACTAAACAGAGCCCACATTCCAGTCCAAGGAGTGGGGATTCAGCTCCAGCTCTTGGAGAAAGGAGCACTTACGTAGAGTATTTGGAATTCTTCTGTAAGGAAGATTTATTTCTTATTGTACTTGTTTATATAATCTTTTTGAGATGGCTCAAAAATGGAAGATTGGGGTTCACGTAAAATCTGGGAAAGAAGAAAAGTCTTTGGCCCATACCTAAGCTTCCTTTTTTCTTCCATGGACCTTGGCTGGTTCCTGATGGCTTTAATTCTGTCTCTGGATGCCATGGGTATCAGAGATGCAATTAACTTCTGTCCTATGGGAAAAAAAATAAATGCAGTTTCGTTTCTGTTTTCTTTAACAATCATAACACCTTAAAATATGGCACTGAAGTCAGAGTGCATTTTTATAAGAAAACAAGGAAAGAATATATGGACTCAGGGATCCCAAAGAAGCCAAAAGGAAACAACAAGAGGACATTCATATGCGTTAGAGCTCAAAGTCAGAGCAAATGATCATGGCTGCATTCTATTTCTATTCAGTGTTTTTCTCTTTCCCATGACACAAAGCATTTAGCAAAGCCAACAAGATCCTGTATGTTTGGTTTTCCTGCCTCTTTTTTCTTGTTTTAATAACCCACATCTCTTTCTTTGGTCCCTGGCCCCGGCCCAAGCGCCTTCTTCGACAATGGCTGTACACTCTTCCACCTCCTGGGGGGCGACCCCTCCTCTTCTCCCACTAACCGAAATTCACGTTTTTGGTCTGCATGGCAGATGGCAGATGCCTACCCCAAAGTCATTCCCTCCTTATTAATAGAATCCCAGTTATGTTTAGGAATCTGCCCCCTGCCTCACAAGGCCCTGAGTTTCCTTGGAGGCAGGCCCATCTCTAGGCACAAGGAGCAGGTCTAAGCCAAGCCCAATGGTCCTGTCCCTTTTGCAGGTGACTGGTTTTGGCACAGGCATGTGACACAGCATTGGCTGATGTCCTCTGAAGGGTGGTCTCTGAGAAGTTTCTTGAGAAAGCAAAAAACAAGGAAAAGACAGATCCTTCTTCTTCTGGGTATTGTGTCTGCATGGGAAGTGCTATCACCGTGGAAGCCAGCCGGGGGGCCACTGGGGGGAGCGATGTGAAGGAGGTGGCTGAGGGACCAAGGGAGGGGGTTGGCTCCTTGGTCAGGGCACTGAGCTGAAGCTTCTCAGGAAAAAGTGCCGTGTTTACTGTGATGACATAGTTGAGGCCAAAAGGGAATTCCTCAAAGGGGGCCACTCTGCTGCTGAGGAATTTGTGTCTCTCTTGAATAGGAAAGGTGAGCAGGCTGAGAGAAAAAAGCGGGAAAGAGGGAAAAATATCGAGATGTAGGAAGACAGCAGCATGAGAGGTGATGCTCCAATCTTCTTCAATAAGAAGGCTACACCATAGAGTGTTTAGTGTGAAGGTGTTTTATCTTCTCCCAGAAATCACTGAGAGCTGCTAGACTTGACGTCTGGAATATTACAGAGGGCGAAACAGAAAAAGCATCTCTGTTGGCCTCAGGAGCTGAGAGTCTGGGAGGTCTCAGCTAAGACCTGATTTCCTCATGAACTTGGCAACAGAAGGCATCCTACCTATGTTGCCTGGAGGCAGGAGGAGGAGGAGTCAGACCAAAAGGGGACAGGGCAGCGGTGAATGACTTAGGCTTGGGAATCAGGCAGACCTGCATTTGGGCCTCAGATCTGCTAGGTCAATGAATGTCTCTGAGCCTCAGTTTCCTTGTCAAGCAAATGGAAACGCCTGCCTCAAAGTTGTCGAGTATGGGGAGTACATAAAACTAAATTTGGTGACTAACAAAAAACAGGTGCTCTGCACATGAAATAAGCTTGGTCAAAGTCAGCTCTTATCAGCAAGGAGGTCTCAAAGTGATCCCTTTCTTCATCCCTGGCACCCTTAGTTCACCTACCAAACCTTCCACACCACTTCTTAATGTCTCTCTCTCTCTCCCTTTTTCTTAGAGACAGGGTCTTGCACTGCTGTCCAGGCTGGAGTTGCAGTGGCTCAGTCATAGCTCACTGCAGCCTGGAACTCCTGGGCTCAAGTGATCCTCCTGCCTCAGCCTCTCAAGTAACTGGGACTGCAAGCATGTGTCACCATACCCAACTAACCTTTTTTGTTTTTTGTAGAGACCGTGTCTTGGTATGTTACCCAGGCTGCTCTTGAACTCCTGGCCTCAAACAATCCTCCCACTTCAGACTCCCTCCCAAAGGGCTATGATTTATACTGGCCAGATTTGTTTGAAAAGGAAACTCATGTCAATTTGTCAGTGGGAGCTTGTATCACTTGCTAGGTGACTGTATATTTATAGACATACATTCAGGGAAAACAGCCACATTATCCAATTCTAACTAGATAAGGCTGAGTGAAAGAAGCCAGTCTCAAAGGGCTCCATAGTGAGTGGATCCATTTATATGCCATTTTGGTAAAGGCAAAAGTAGGAGAACAGAGAACAGATCAGCTGAGGGTGGAAGGAGAGGTTGTCTGCAGAGAGATGGCAGGGGGGTCCTCTCATATGGCTGGGACTTCAGGAGCCATCATGCCTGGCTACTTATTTTTATTTTTGTAGATACAGGGTCTTGCTATGTTGCTCAGACTGGTTCTCAAACTCCTGGCCTAACGTGATCCTCCCACCTTGGTTTTCCAAAGCACTGGGATTATAGGTGTAATCCACACCCAGCCCCCTTGATGTCTTGAAAGTAAAAACTCTGTGGACAACTTGGAAGCCTCTTCTGCCACCCCCAGCTCCTCTTCCCCAGTGTTTTACTACCTTGAATGGTTTCATGTGAAGAATGAGAAGTGTCTATGCCCAAGCATTCTGGACTACAGAGGGTCTGAGACATCGAATTGTTCAAAGATGTTGAAAACTGTAGCAACTGGCTGCGCCTTTTTTCATTCCTGTTGCTGAAAGTCTGATAGTCCACCACTTCGACGTCAGATAATGATGAAACCATGCTGACTCTTGAGTTTACCTGTGCCATTTCTCGAACACTCTGATTTGAGGATGGATGACTTTGGACCCCAGGGAGAATATCCTCAACCTCTATGATAATTTCATTTGAGTAGTCATCAGACAACATCTCTTGTCTCTTACAAGCCTTACTCTCCACTGGGGTGGGCTTTTAAAGCTCTCGTACAATAGTCACACCAGCACTGTCAGGATTTGCGGGGGGGGGGGGAAGTGATGACAGTCATAAAGAGACCCACCATTTACATTTTTTTAAATGCCAGGATGAGATTACTAAAACCAGCCCCACACTAATCATAGCATCACTGCCCACATCTGCTCCCAGAGGGATCTTCTCAGGGGGGAGGAGTGTTTTCCTGCAGAGAATTCTGTCTTGGTAGCTAGGCAAGAAATCAGAAACAGAATTGTCATTTAAGACAATGAGATTCTAGGAACAGAAGCAGATTCTTCTGAAGGACTCATAATCAAAGGACAAGACTTCCTTTTCAACTTAGTGCCTCTGGCCTAGAATTCATATTTTATATGCCTATATAAATCCAGATGAACTTACAATGATACAATTATTATCTCCTGGTGCCTCGGGTAGTAGACACTGCTAGATGTCTGCTTCCTGATATTAATTCTCCTTTTTCCTCATACCAGCAGAAGCTACATTTTCTGCGTGGACACAGTGCTCAGGTAAAATGCTCCCTGCTTTCTTTATGGCTAAGGGTGAATCTATGTCCCAGTTTTAGTCAATAAGACAAGTAGTTTCTAGGAACAGTCTTTGAAAGAGGACAGTTACCAAAGCTATCAAGGGAGAAGGTTAAAAAATAAGTAAATAAATAAATAAAATAGACCTGGCTCAGTGGATCATGCCTGTAAACCCAGCACTTTGGGAGGCTGAGGTGGGAGGATCACTTGAGGCCAGGAGTTCAAGATCAGCCTGGGGAATACAGTGGGATGGGATCTCATCTCTACAAAAAATAAAAATAAATTGGCCAGGTGTAGTGGCACCCCTGTAGCCTCAGCTACTCAGGAGGCTGAGATGGGAGGATCACATTTGAGCCTAGCAGGTCGAGGCTGTAGAGGGCTGGAATCACACCACTGCACTCCAGCCTAGACGACAAAGTGTGACCTGAAAAAAGAAAGAAAGAGAGAGACAGAGAGAGAAGAAGAAGAGGAGGAGGAGGAGAAGAAGGAGAGAGGAAGGGAGGGAGAGAAAACAAACAAAATAAAAGGGGACGTTTTGCCCAGGTTCACTGATTGCCCTTCACCATTCCTCCTCCTTTGTACCTGGATGCAGCCATTCTGAAAATAAGAGGATGAACATTTACTTGCTAAGGATGGAGGAGAAGGAAGCCACAGAAAGAGCTTCAGTCCTGGAGGGCACCATGGGCAGAGCTACTGCATACACTTCAGGCTTCTTCCCTCCACACTTCTTGTTACATAAGACGAATAAACCCCTTTATTCCTAAGCCACTGCTCTGTTTCAGTGCCAGGCACCTGAACATAATTCCTATCTAATAGGCCTGATTTCAAAATCCCCTGGGCCAAGTTGTTTATTTAATAGTGGGAGAAATTGGCTGGGCGTGGTGGCTCATGCCTGTAATCCCAGCACTTTGGGAGGCAGAGGCAAGATGATTGCCTGAGCCCAGGGGTTCGAGACCAGCCTTGTTGAGACCTCAGCTTGGTGAGACCTTGTCTCTAAAACAAAATAAATTAGCTGGGCATAGTGGTGCAGGCCTGTGTTCTAGCTATTTGGGAGGCTGAGGTGGAAGTATTGCCTAAACCCAGCAGGTTGAGGCTGCAGTAGCAGTAAGGATGCCACTGCACTCCAGCCTGGGCGACAGAGTGAGACTCCAACTCAAAAGATTAAAAAAAAAAAAAAAAGGACAGGATTGAACCAGAACTCAAGTACACATTCTCTCAACAATAATTAATCCAATACTACAGGCCAGGTACTTTAAATAGAGTACATCATTTATATATTGATTTATATTTAATTTAATTTTTGTTTTTTTGAGTCAGAGTCTCATTCTCAATCATGACTCAACCTCCTGGGCTCGGGTGATCCTTCTCCCTCAGCCTCCCATGTCGCTGGGACTATAGGCATGTGCCACCATGCCAGATTAACTTTTAAATATTTTTGTAGAGATGACCTCTTGATATATTACCTACAATGGTTTTGAACTCCTGACCTCAAGTTATCTTTCCACCTTGGCCTCCCAAAGTGCTGAGATTACAGGTGTGAGCCACCACTCCTGGCCAAGTTCACCATTTAATTCTCACTATTGCCCAGTGAGGTAGGTCCTATAATCAATCCCATTTCATAGCAAGGAAACTGAGGCTCAGCAAGATCATTCTCCTGAGGTCACAAAACCAGCAAGAAGCAGAGCTAGGGTTAAAACCAAGCTGGTCTGAACACAAAGCAGGAGCTCTTAATCACTTCACCCTGGCCCTTCCTGTAAAAAGATGATGCTGTGTCATTCATTCATTCCTCAATGAATGAACACTGAGTGCCTATTATGGTCCAGGTGTCTCCCAGGTACACAGCACAACCCATCAAAGCTACACTTCATCAAAAGGTTGTCTGTCTATCAATTCATTACACAAGGTTTGAGAATCAGATTCAACACAAGGCAAAATGGTGAAGACAATCATGTTCATCTTTGGGTCCCCTATTTCTTTTTTCTTTCTTTTTTTAGAGATAGAATCTCACCATGTTGTCCAGGCTGGTCTCGAACTCCTGGGCTTGAGCAATCCTCCCACCTCAGCCTCCCAAAGTGCAGGGAATACAGGTGTGCGTCAGTGTGCCCAGTCATGGGTCCGTTATTTCCTTACTACTCGCTGTCTTTTGAGGACTCTTCTTCTATCAGGGTCCCTGATTTATTATTACTATGTGTTCTCATCCGTGGTTTCTGACTCTTACTTCTTATGGCCCTTGTTGTCATTGTGGGTACTTCAGGCCTCCGAAGCAGGCCTCAAAAACCAGCTCTCTCTGCCTTCCCTTCATCTGCAACTTTTTCTTCCCTAGGCAGGACTCCGATCTTCCCCTGCCTTTCTGTCTTGCAGCGGGCCATAAGGAAATTATCTGGCCTTCTTGTCTGGCTGTAGGTCATTTTCAGAAGGGGCCCATTTCAGAAGAGATCCAGCCCCCAACCCTGTAGGAAAGAATGCTACCCAGAGAGGCCAAGAAGAATCTGGACAGGCTTGCGGCATTTCCCCACTCAGTCTACCAGGACTGGATCATTGTCCAGTCATATTTCTACATGGTTGTCCATCATGCCTATCCAGTGAAGTCTCTTTAAAAGGCCCAAGAGGACAAGATTCTGGAGAGCTGATCACTTGGTGGCTCCTGGAGGGGGTACACCTGGGGAAGGCATGCAATCTCCACGCTCTCCCCCCATCTGACCCTTCCGCCATTTCTCACCTCTTCATCTGTGTCCTTTATAATTCTCCTTTATAATAAACAGGTAATGAACAAGTGTTTTCCTGAGTTCTGTGAGCTGCTGGAACAAAGTAATTGAACCCAAGGAGGATGTTATGGGAACCCCAACTTGAAGCCAGTCAGAAATTCTGGAATCCCAGACTTGCCACTGGTGTCTGAAAGAAGGGGCAGTCTTGGGGACTGAGCCCCCACCCTGGGGGATCTCACACTATGTCTAGGTAGATAGTGTCAGAATAGTTCACTGCAGAATTGATTGCTTGCTTGGTGTGTGTGGAGAAACCCCCACACATCTGGTCACAGAAGTCTTCTATGCTGATGGTTGTTGAGTGAGAGAATAGAAAAAACACTTTGAATGTGTTGTTTTTCCCCATATAGTCCCCATACCACCTGCTGGCTAGACAGAGCAGTTTTATGAAGCTGAAAGGTTTTTCTTCCCCCTGATAGTTAAAGCCATTCTCTGCTCTAGGTAGAACCATATGAATAGTGTCATCATTTATACACAGGGTTTCCTCCCAGACAGCAATAACTACCTCTTGTGGAGATACATGTCTCCTTGAGAAGGTTATTGAAGAATGCAGTTAATAGCTATCACATAGATTATGGGATTGAAAGGTGAGAAATGGAGTTGAGTCATGGGAGTTCCTCAACACGCATTGTTATGTAGAGGATGCCATTCATGTATTCCTTGTTGTTCACAGACTTACCTTTCAGTTTCAGCATTCCTGTCCTCCCTCTTTTTCATTTCTCAGTCTCTGCCTCCAATTAGACCTTCCTCGCTGCATGCAGTGATACTTAGAGAGCTTCCTAGCTGATTTCAAAGCCTTCTATCTTTCACCAGTCTGATTGCTTCCACACTCCACTATATATATACTAACTGTATGATTATTTAGAAAAATTATTTAGAAAATAATTTTCTAAAAGATTATTTAGAAAAATTCTGAACAATGCATTTCATCCTCCACCAACATAGACACTAGTCATAGGTACTTTCAGTTTCATAGGGCTGCTCTGTCTAGCCAGCAGGAGGTATGGGGACTGTAATGGAAAAAAAACTCACACTCAAAGTGTTTTTCTGTTCTCTCACTCAACAACCATCAACACAGAAAGAAGACTTCTATGACCAGTTGGGTAGACAGGTGACCATCTTTTCTCTGTGATAAAAATATCTTAAAGGTTGACATAAAGCAGCCAACAGACACATGAAAAAATGTTTAGCCTCACTAATCATCAGAGAAATAAAAATCAAAACTACAATGAGATACCACCTAACTCTAGTAAGGATGACAATCATTAATTAGTCAAAAAATAACAAGTGCTGTTGCACAGCTGCAGAAAAGAGGGAATGCTTCTACATTGTTGGCGGGAGTGCGTTAGTTCAACTTCTATGGAAAGCAGTGTGGCAACTTCTAAAAGAGCTAAAAATTGAACTTCCATATGATCCAGCAATCCCTTTCCTGAGAATATACCCAGGGGAACATAAATAACTCTACCAAAAAGACACCTACACATGCATGTTTTTTTGCCACACTATTCACAATAGCAGAAACATGGAACAAGCCCTGTTGCCCATCAAAAGTGGATTGAATAAAGAAAATGTGGTTTATATACACAACGGAATATTACACAGCCATGAAGAAGAACAAAACCATGGACTTTGCAGCAACTTGAATGCAGTTGGAGACCATCATATTAAGTGAACTGCCATAGAAACAAAAAACTGAATACCACATGTTCTCACTCATAAGTGGGCCCTGAACACTAATCACATTAGCAGAAGGGTAGGATTGGCAGTCATGGAGCACTGCTAGGGAAGGAAGGAGGAAGGAGGGAGGAGGGAATGTGACAACACAATGGGTACCTGGTCCACTCCTGGGGTAGTGAGGGCCAGCTAGAAGCCCAAACTTCACCTTGCATGCAGCCTACTTATGTAGCAAATCCTTGC